TTCCTTCCTTCCTTCCTTCCTTCCTTCCTTCCTTCCTTCCTTCCTTCCTTCCTTCCTTCCTTCCTTCCTTTTTAAGCTGCTAAGATATCTTGGCATACTGTGAAAATGTTAATGTTCAAAAATGTTCAGAAATGGACCTCCTTTGAATCCATAAATTCCCTGCTCAATCAGCTATTTTGGTTAATAACAAACTGAAACAAAATGAAAATATGTACTGAGGTGACATGATAGCACTTTTCCAATACTTGAGGAGCTCCTGCAAAGACGAAGGGGTCAATGGTTAGTTTCCATCCATTGTTTCTCATGTTGCCTTTTGATGCTTTGAAAAATATCCAAAACCATGAAAATATCCAAAGCACCAAAAGGCAAGATGAGAAACAATGGATGGAAACCAACCAAGGAGAGAAGCAACCTAGAACTAAGGAGAAATTGCCTAATGAGAGCAATCAACCAATGGAACAGCTTGTCTTCAGAATTCGCGGGTGATCCATCACTAGAGACTTTCAAAAAGAGACTGGGCAGCCATTTGTCCGAAAAGGTTTAAGCTGTCTTGCTTGAGCAGGGGGCTGGACTAGAAGACCTCCAAGGTCCCTTCCAGATCTATTATTCTATGTTCTATGAGTCAGCAATTAAATATTAGAATGGCAATCAATCTCTAAACTTAAGGGAATAATTTAATCATCAGCAAGTTCTGATGATGAAATCCTCTTTTTTCTCCTCACCTTGATTTAATGGTGTACCATTTGCCAAAACCATGACACTCATCTCTACATACCTGACACTAGTCAGCTCAGAAGCATAATTCCAGATTTTAAAAATGGAGCTAACTGCAAGTGTTCAGTTCAAAACTATTTCCCTTTGACAAACATTAAGTTGTGAGACCATGCATATTTTGAAATATGATGTCAAATCTCTTTGGCTTTGAAGAATGTGATGTCATTGAATCTGCTTCCTTTCAGCTGTCCAGGGTGATATGTTGCAGCTGACACTTGTCACCCATTGGACAGGACATGTGGTGACATCACTGGTCCCCACCTGCACTCCCAACTCCTACAAACAGCAGCCAGTATTACGGCATGCAAGGCTGTTCTTTATGAAGATACTTTGATGTGGCCTTCTGGGAAAGAAATAATCAACTATAGTGACCCTAGGAATGTTTTTAATTTATTTATTTTTACTTTATTTATTTATATGCACTGTACCTTTTTATTATTTTTACAAATAACTCCACTAAATATCCAACACACATTCCTGCTCCTATTTTCCCCATGGCAACAAACCTGTGAGGTGAATTGGACAGAGAGACTGGGCCAAAGTCACCCAACCAGTTTTCATGCCTAAAGTAAGATTAGAATTCATAGTTTAGATTAAATTAGATTAGATTAGAGATTAACAGAGTGGGAAGGGACCTTGTAGGCCAGGGGTGTCAAACTCATGTCATCACATGATGTAGCTGGATTTTTTTCCCCTTTGCTAAACCAAGCCTGGGCATGGCCAGTGCATGATACATCTGGCCCACGGGCTGGGAGCTTGGCAGCCCTGTTATAGGTCATCTAATCCACCCACCCACCCAAGCAGGAGACCCTATACCATTTCTGACCGATGGCAGTCCAGTTTCTTCTTGAATGCCTCCATTGATGAAGATCCCACAACTTCTGAAGGCAACTTCTGTTCCTTGGTTAATTGTTCTCCCTGTCAGAAAATTCTCTCCTTGTTTAGTTTCCATCCATTATTCCTTGTATGGCCTTCAGGTGCCTTGGAAAATAGCTTGACCCCCTCCTCTCTGGGGCAGCCCCACAAATATTGGAAGACTGCTATCATGTCTCCCCTGGTCTTTCTCTTCGCCAGACTAGCCATGCCAAGTTCCTGCAATTGTTCATCGTATGTTTTAACCTCCAGTCCCCTAATCATCTTGGTTGCTCTTCTCTGCATTTTTTCTAGAGTCTCTAGAGTCTAGAGTTTCCTGGTGATTGGCCCAAAGTCACCCAGCTGGTTTTCATGGCTAAGGCATCTTTTGTTGCTTGTCTCCACAGACCTTCTAATATTGGATGATTCCAAGAAATACATCTTCCTCTGTATCAGTTAAGAGAGTGCTCTGATCGTTGTCTGCAATCTACCTTTGATTACACACTAAGCAAAGAAGTGTTTTGTTTGGTTTCAGCTGAGTGTTTTGTGTTGAATATTTCCAACCATAGTACTTTGTAAACCATGGGCTTTAGCTAGCTAATGGTGGTTTA